GGTTTATATTATTTTCTTAAGACAGTCCATCCTAAGTGAAATATCTACAGCAAAGTATATGTAAACATTCTCAAATCCTCTTGGTAAACATTGCAAAGTCACTTTCCAGAACCACAGTTTTAACAATCACTCCCATTAGCAGAGCTTGAGAGCACCTGTCTTACCACCCCCTACCAGGAGTTCTCTGGTCTTTAGTAATGTGATACACACAAATATGTTTATTTGCATGGCTAGCTGAGCAGGACTAGTTTTTCCCCACATTTCAATGAGCCACACCAGTGTCTGGACTTTACCCTTCTAGAAGGTACAGCAGTAGCACCTCTCACCTTGGCTGGCTAGGGCTTTGCTCAGGCTGTATTTTATTTGGTGGAACACTGTGTCCAGGGAGGGCACCAGAGAAGTCCACAGATGCCTGGTGTTTTTCTGGAAGCACTCTTTATTGCTCTAGTCAATGTGAAATAGGATCTTTCGGTTACTTTTTGTCACCCCTGGGACACCTCTGTCTTTCCTTCTGCCCTCAGTTATGAATGCCTCATGCTCTCGTCCTCTCTGTCATCACCTATGCTAATCCTGCCTGCCCCTCAATTTCTGCTCAGTACCCTCCTCCACCATGCAGCCCGTGTGTCTTGAGCAATGGCATTTGTTAGATTTGTCTGTCAACCACTATAAAGGACCCTAGGACCGCTGTCTGCTGTTGGCTTTAGTTGGCACATCCTTCTTGCAATTTGGTGTGCCTATTGAGACAGCCCTGCATTCACAGTGGAGCTGAGGCTCCTTCTGGGCAGGCCTCCTTGCTCATTTTTGTATGTATCCTTGAACACATCAGAGTGTTCCACAGGGTGTGTTGGTTAGCTGACTCTGGTGGCTGCTAGCTCAGCTTTGTCCCTGTCTATATGTGATGCCCAGACAGTTAAGCATTACTGTGTTGTCATGATTTTTAACAAAAACCTATGTCATCATATGCAGTTGCTATGGGAGAAGTATAATTTAATGATTAAGAGAGGAAGATTGGCCACTTCCATTTATTTCAAGGATCGCTGAAGCTCTTCCCTCGAGCAAACATTGACATCAACCCTCATTTATAGAGGTGGGACATAATCTGCCCGACTTTCTGTGATACAGTTATCTCTAGGGGGTTGGGAACTCCTTCTGTCCTAGGAGGCCTGATTACATAGGAAAACACACCAGTCCTGTGAGCTTCTCAAGTTCCACACTCATCCACACATCCCTCAGAGGAATAAAAACTGGCACCACCTAGAGGCTATAAGGAGAACGCCTGACCCAGGGAGAGCAGGGAGTGGTCACTTCCCAGGCTCAAGCCTAGCCTCACTGAGATCCTCTTTCCATTTGGCACAGGGTAAGTTCTCCCTGTCTCAGCACTATTTCCAGGTGGCTAGCACATTTGTTAGCACAGTAGGTCTTGAGGTGTGGTCCCTGGACCACCACCAGCAGAGCAGCATATGAGAACTGGTTAAAAATGAAAATCCTGGCCTGAGTCAGAAACTCTAGGGACAAAGCCCAGCAACCTGGTGATTCTGACACACATTGGTTTTTATAAAACAGGAAATTTGTAAAAGCCTGTCAAAAGATAAGGTAGTATATATTGCCTAGTATGGTATTTGGCACTTAGCTGGTACTAAAGAAGCAAATAAATAAACAAGCCCATTCCTCTGTTCACCCATCCCCTACTCATACAACCAAGACGGCTGGGAGAGATTGGAAGAATTTGGGATTGAATTAGACCTGAGTGGGAAGGAAAAGTGGACCAAAACTTAAACAAGCATTATTACCTTAGGCAGGGAGAAGTGAGAAGAGGAATGGAAATCTCAGAAGTATCAGTTTACCAGGGAAGAATTTTATGTTTACAGCTTTAGTGAAAGGAAATAGCCTTGAACTGTAACTTCAATGTTTTGGTGCACAATTAACACTCAGAGCTGGTTCTGCCCTTCTGGTCTCCCCCCCAAACCTCCCACCCCAGCCCTCTTGGCATAGGTGCTATCAAACGCATTTTACACAAACGATACCTCCAATGTCTTTATGCCATCAGACAAGTCCAGCACTTTCATCCCGGTGGAGCCATCTCCATTCCCTGGAGTCCCTTCCTCATGTCCTCCCACCCTTCCCCAGACTGCTGTAGACTGCTCCAGCATGACTTTGCCTCCACCCAAGACAGAGAAGAAGCATTAGTGATAGGCTATAGCTCTGATGACATTTTATGAATGAATTAGCCATAGAGAAGCACCTACTGGGACAACTCAGACAAAGTACCTGGTAGTGTCTCGGCTCATTTTTCCCACTTCTTCAATAAAATGGTTGTATCAGTTTTCCCATGTTTTCTCCCCACCTTAAATTTTCTAGCTTTCAGTTGTACTGTTTATACTTGTCACATAGACTAATCTAATAAGGCCTTACCCTTTCAGAGGATGCATCACTTAAAAATAGGGCCCACTGGCAGGCCATCACATTGTTCTCTACAGACTAACACAGACCCAGATGAGTGACCTCAGGGAGACATGCACACCCTGGGATGTTGGCTGGAGCCTCTTTCTCTTGCGACAATGTGATATTGATATTTTGGTTTTAAGGGAAAAAACTATTTCATACATAGATTTCTTTCTAAACCTTGCTTTACTGTGAGGTCAGTCATTGCCATTGGGACAACTCTAATAGGCTGGTAGTGGGGTCACTGGCCAGGAGGCTTGAAGGCAGCACCAGAATCAGGGAACCTTGGGTGTCAATGTTGGGTGACATTGCTCTTGGTCTTGGTAAGACATGGGTGGCCATATTACCCATGCTGAGCCTGTTTTTCTGAGGCACCAATTGCATAGTGAGTTGTAAGGTTGTTGTGAAGCTGAATAAAATACCACATATAAACTATATAGTGCTTTACAATTATAAGGGGTCACTGAGGACACTAGCTCCTTCCACCAAACTCCAAAGTCATCACCACTGAATACCATCCATCACCCTGCCCCAGCCTGGCCCTCCCAGCCTGCTCCCTCACCCTCATAATCCAGAAATGAAACAGGAGTTCTAGGCTTTTATGGTGGCTCAGAAAATCTCCCAGAAACTACAAATGTCAGAAAGAATAAGATAGGGTTATTATAGGACACCCCAATTTCATCAAGTAATGGAAAGGGAGTTCAATGAGAGGAAATTGAAGGGAAGAAGAAAAAATAAGGAATCTGATATTGAGAAGAAAGGTATTTGGAGCCTTATCAAGCCCCAGTATCTTATACTTATTTTTCTACTAACTTATATCCTGTCATCTTCCAAAAAGGATTAGACATGACAAACCAAGCTCTAAGTTAGCAGACCCATATGAAACATCCCAGCAATTCATAGCTACTTGAAATGAATGACTAGTCCCAGTGCAATTCATGCAAGAACAAGGACCACTCTCCTAATTTCACCTGATCTCTGCCAAGAGGCAGGGCCATGTGCCCAAGGCAGCTGTTCACACACGTGTTCCAGGACCATTTAGAATACCTCAGAACCCCTACCTATCTGTTCTGGGTACTCTCTCGTCAGTCACTTTTCATCTGGTAGCTGCCACTGTAGCCTTCTTCAAAGGCTGCCTGTGCAGAGTGTCAGAGACCTCAGAGTTTCTGTTCCTCTCTGCCCCAGTTCCTCTGTGGCAGCCTGAGACCCTGGGGAAGGTCTGAACATCTAGCTCCCTTGTCGAGGCCATACTAACCATGAGGTGTAATTGAGCTCCCCAGAGGATCTAGATGAGGCTGGGATGCTTGGGTTCTTGCTCTTCAGTCCTGTTGTACATATTCTGTACTCGTTTCTCCTGGGAGAACTTCTTCAGACATCCCTGTGTGGGAACCCTGATCTCAGGAGCCCAACCTAAGACAGGCGCTGTAGGCTTCTTTTCTTTTTCTAAGTCCTTTCCAGGAGCTCCCAGCCTCTCAATATCCTCCAAATAAGACCAGGGGCCTTGTCATCCTCTCAGGTCCCAGCCAAATCACTTCTCCACACCCAGATTCTCCTTCCGAAATGCCTGTCAACTTCAGGCACTACAGCTGTATGCCAATGGAAACTTAGAGACAAGGGAGACTTTGGGGGAGGCTAGATTGGGATGAGCTGATGATGAGTAAACGTGGTAGCCTTTCTTCAAACATGCCCAGAGAAGAGCAGACATTCCAGTACCCAGGGAGCTATTCTTGCATGCAGGAAAGACTGGGACCACTTATGTTGAATCTCCTGTTTCAACTACTCCAAGTAAAAAGTGTGTGACTAGGCAACCACAAATGTTCCTTTGATATTTCAGACCCCTTACAATCATTCACTGGTCCCTCTGAGGCTAAGAATATAAGGAAGCTATGTGAAGCGACTGTTCTGCCTGGATGAGAGAGGGTGGGCAGGACTCTGAATGGCAATGTAGAGGATGGCTTCTGGAATTTGGAGCAGAGATAAGGATGTAGAGATGGTCTAGAAGGGCCTCAGTTGATCCTAAAGGAGGCTGTGTACCCAGAAGCCACCCAGATGATACGCGTGTAGATGGGATCCATCAGTATTTTGGAAAGGGTGACATTCAGTTTTTAAGATACCACTGTACCTTTAATTTATTAGCGTTCCATAAAACACATAACATACACAATCTATGGTATAGAAAGTATAATTTATAAAAATATAAAAAATCTTGATTATTTTTTAGTATTGCAAGATATTACTGCATATGTTATTTCAATAAGCATGTTTAAACAATGCACACTTAACCAGCAAGATTACTTCTGTGGGAAATGATTACAACTCCCCTGTTTTTGTTTTAAAATAAAATATATATTAAGAAAAAGAAGCCAAAATTGGTTATAGGTACATATTGTATGTCTAAAAGCTTTGCAGTGAAGTTTGAAAAAAGAATCCTTTTAATCATTATTTAGGCCCTGTTTGCCAGTATTAATATGTGCTTTAAACTGTCTTAAACATTGTTTAAATGAAGTTATTTCCACGTAAAAGAAGCAAGTGTCGTCAGGTGTGCAGTCTTCTATGAAGGTCATCAGATGATGACCACAAAAGTCAACAGTGTAGAAATGTTTGGTTTGCAGGCCTACAGGACAAAGGGGATGGACAGCCTTCATGCCAGGGCTAATTTCCATATTCCTGCAGAGGGTTCAGGCTGGAATTTTAAGGGCTCAGTCACCAGCAATAAGAACCTCAGAATGATGGCTTGGGGGACAGATCCTCCTGGGATGCAGCCAAGTTGTCTATGAGTTCTCTACTGCCTTTGCAGCTGTACCACTAGTCAAGCGCTCACTCCAGGGCTCCAGGGATGTTATTCTGCAGACCATGGGATGGAGATTTCCTTCCACTCTGAAGCACTGGTCTTACCGGCAGGCACAGGTCTCCACAGACATGTTGGGGTACACCTTCAAAACCATGTTCCGATTCTCATCCAGGAAGAGGACCCCAAGGGAGTTCATCTTGTCAGGAACGCAGCAGGGCTCTGGGATGCCTGGGACAATGCCCACGGCCCTGACAATGCTCTGGATGGTGGCGTGATTGGATGGGCGCACGATCTGCAAGGTGAGAAAGGGGCAAGATTACCTCTGCGCTCTGCCCCACCCACCCACTGTGCCATCTGCATTTTCTCCACTCAGCCCTTGGAAAAAACAAGGACCAAGAAGAAAAGGTGAGATTCCAGGGCTGGTGCCCCTTTCCTCTGAAGTCAGCCACAGACTAAGTCCCTGGGGGATTCTCAAGATCCTGGGGCCTTCTTGCCCCTCCAGCCTCTGTGAGGGAAGTGGCATTGCCTACAAGGCACTGGTCACTTGGGGGCACCTGCTCATCACACATTCCAAAGGAGCACCTGAAACAGGGCAGAAGTGGTTAGAGAGAAGGCCTAAGGAGATATCTAGCCAGTTTGGCCTGGGGCCACAGCTGCCCAGGTTTCTAAGTTTGAGGTGTAAAGACATGTTTCCATATGATTGTGTTCCCAGCATGAAGGGGAAGGCCTGCACATGTGTGTGCCAGTGCAAGGGGCCTGGAAAATGACATTTCCTGGGAAGGTCTAACTGCAGTGTTAGGTGCTGCTTCACTTTCTCATCAAATCAGTCTCATGGAAAGGGCATTACCTAAATTTTACTGGTGAAGAAACGGATGCTTAAAATGACTAAGAAACTTGACTAAGATTCCTAAGATACTTTAGCCAGGCTTGGACACCATGCTCAACAGAGCCACAATGACTCTCTTCCCCTCCCCACATAACCTCTCCCATCCAGAAGGCTCTGGGTCACAGCAGCAAACACAGAGAATGCTCTTCCTTAAGCATCTCTGGCAAGATGAGCAGGACCAAGCCTCATGTGCTTCAGCTCCCTGCCAACCAGAGTTTTATATACCATGTGTTGAAGAGAAAGGCCTCCTACGTGGGAAGCAGGAGGAGAGTGAGCCAAGGAAATCTGATTTGTGAGATTCAGGCTGGTATCAGAGAAGGTGAGAAGACAGCCAGCCAGGCTAATAAGAAAAGTGCTGGGTCAGCCAGCTGGAGCCTGCTGAGTGCTCCTCCTGAATCTGTGAGACTCCACCAGCAGACACCTGTCTACAGGGTATCTCACTTCCTTTCTCTTGCACATGCTCAGCTTTGAGAAGAAGCCCCTTAATTCCTAAACAGGGTAATGCTGCCTTACTTCTGTGTCTGGGATTTCCCAGATGGATGATCCAGTTTCAAACTGAATTTATGTACCGAATTCCTTTCTTGGAGGAGAAGACATGGCATGGAACTCAGCAAAGGAGCTAAGCTGGAGGAGAGTGTACACTGAGGCGAATTGACATCATCTGGCTACTGGTTCACCACAGCTCCAGCAGTGAGAAACAGAGAGACAGAACAATGACCAGCTTGGATGGAAGGTGAGAACCTGAAAACATTTCTAGCACAATGGGTAAACAGCCCCCTGCTGTGTATTCTGATACTGGGTTGCACAGTGGGAGTTAGTTGTCCTGTGGCCACTGCCCTGAGTGGTAGAAAGGGGGAAGGAAGTCCTCACTGAGAAGCCACTGAAACCAGCTCTGTGCTAGTCACAGACACCAATGCTCTAAGGTCCAGTCCAACAACAAAAACAAGAGCCTTGGTGAGGAGGGTGCTTTGCAGACCTGTCCTGTCTACAGGGGGCAGCATCCACTCATCCTCTGTAGATTGTTTTGTGGGAACACACACACAAGGAGACGCATTCTCCACTTTCCAAAAGAAGAAATATTCCAATTTAAAATTTATATTCAACCAAGTCATCATTTTCAAAGGCACAGCCCAACCTTATCCATCTGGGGGGTGAAACCACTCAACAGGCTACCACATTAGTACCTCTGTCTACCTACCTGTTCCAGGTCTCCAAGGCCTCCAATAGATGGGAGGGGTTATTATCCCTATTTTATAGACAGGAAAAAGGTCACAAGGCAGAGGGACTTGGTAGTATGAGAGTCACAATTAGAAAATGGGTGCAACAGAGCACACCCTACCTTGGGCATGGGGAACTCGCATGCTCCTGCACAGTAGTAAGCGTCGAAGGATTTGGGTGAGATGATCCATTCATTCCACCCAATGTCTGCAAAGTCCACCTTTAGGTACCTCCGGGAACAGACCCTTGGTTCATCCCACTGCTTCCTCCGGGCTTTCTGCATTGTCTTTTCATCGAAGTGCAGCACCTGGGATGAAGGCACAAACATATCCTGGCCCTTTTTCCTGCGGTCCTTGCGCCCTGGCCGGGGCTTCAGTGTCCGGAAGGGGCTGGGCCACAGTACATGCTTGTGGTAGTGTTGGGTGCGGGGAATTTGTGCTGGCATCTCATCCAGCCCTGGCAGCTCATTGTCCTGGAAAGGCCCAGTTGCCTGTGTGGCCCGTCGGACACGGGGATCTGTGGAGCTGTTGGGGGCTGCACCAGGTTCCCGGTCTCCAGCCTGGAAGGGGTCATATCTCTGCAGTGTCACTGCCACACTATTGGGCTCTGAGATGGCCAGGTCATTGGCATAGATGAGAATGTAGGGTGCATGGGGGCTGGGCCTGGGCACCCCAGGGTCCTTCTCCCCAGAATCTAGCTGGGCAGAGAGAAGCAATTCACCATCCTGACGGGCCGCCTTGACTATGGGGGAGATGTCCTTGGTCTGCCACAGGGCCCGAGGTGGGGGCGCTAGGGCCATGGTCCCCCGGAACAGCCCCTGTGTGGCCGTGTTCTGTGAGAGGCTTCGGAAGAGCAGGTGCTGGCGTACAGGCAGGCCTAGGGGCAGCAGGCGGCAGGACGCATTCTTGGCCCGCTGCTTGCATGGTACCTCATGAGCCCGGGGCCACCAGGGCTCAGAGTAGAAGTGGAATGTGGCTGTGAGGATCATTTCCGAGTCCTGCATGGAAGTCAGGTTGAAGAAATACAGGGCCTTCTGGTTGACCAGTTCTGCAAGGGAATGACAGACCACAGCCCATTAGGTTCTCTCCTGTTTAGGTCCCCAGGTGCCATAGGGTCTTCTAGGTGATGCTAGGGCTGGGACGGAAGAGGAACAGCCATTTAGGGAGCACTTCCAGGCCAGCCTCACTGTCCTTACCTCATATAATTCTCAAATTAATCTGAGAGGGTGCCTGTGTTATACGCAATGAATGGATGAGAAATTAAGGTCAGAGATAGGGGATTGCCAATATCCTATTGCAAAAAAGGAAATGCAGCAGCAGACAAGGTAGGTGTTTAGACCTGCTGGACCCTAAAACTCCTGTCAGATCTCCCCCGCCCCAAAACATACACTCTAATACCTCTCAATGAACAAATGAACAACTTCATTAATGAGATAAGGGGATCAGGGAATCAGGTGATCAGGTGTTCGGGATGGTGACAGTCAGGTCCAAGCACTGTTGACAACAGCCCCTCCTGTATTTTCATAGCCCTCTCTTTTACAGATATTAAATGCAGCCTTTCTTCCAAATGAGGTGAATTAAATAGATAGCCTCATACTTTCCCTGCATTCTGAGTGACTTCTGAAGGAAATGGCTAAAAAGCAGTCATTTGGGCGTCTACTAATTTGTTCAGCCCAAGGTTTTTTAAGTTTGTTTCACAAAAAACAACTTTACAAAGAAAGAAATCAGGGTTGCACGAGCTCACTCAACAATATTTCCAATATCCAGGTTGCTCCAGAGGCCTAAACCATGATAGGGACTGGGATCTTGCAAACAGCACATCTGAAGCTGGGAAACACTCTGGCCCCTGTACCCTGGGCGGTCAGTCACCACTCTTTCCTGCTCTCCTCGTCTTACCAAGTGTACTCTTAGGGTCCCAGGGCCAAGACCCCTGGTCTGCAGCCCCAGGAAGCTATCTGGCCTGGCGGCATGAGTTCTCCAGATGGCCAAGTACTCTCCAGAGTTTGAATGGAAGGCAGGAATTGTTCTCAGGCCCTCATGAGATGCTGCAGACTAGCAGGAGGCAAAAGTGGCCAGACAAGCTGCCTCCCTCTGCTGCCAGTGTCAGTATTCTGGGCAGAGCTGAGAGAGGAACTGAGTTCCACAGCGTGAAATGCAAGCGGGTGCAGGGATGCTGGGCTCTACAATGGGTGTGTGCTGGGGCCACAGGTTCTCTGATATGGGCACCCATGGGATCAGCTGGAATTTTTTTTTTTAACTAAAATTTTCAGCTTAAGGTTACTTTGATTATATTGGGAAGGAGGCATACTTCAATTGAGACTTTTTTAGTGTTCTTAAGGGACTATGAAAAGGAGGAAGGAAGGAAGGAAAAATATATCTACGGAGATCCTAAGCCAGTCAAGGCTTAGACCATTTAAAAACCCTACCTTATGTAATGGTCAGAGCAAATTCAGAGAGTTGAGGCAGCCCCTGCACCCCCAGCAAGGGGCGGCCTGTGCCACATATAAGGAGCAGTGCATGTCAGTCTTAATGAACTTTTAAACTTGGCTTCCCTGAGCACTGCAGTCTTGAGTCTTGTGGTCTGGAGTCCTGCATTTCCCAAATTTCCCTGATCACTGCCCTTCCTCTCCTGGACATGATTCAGAAAGTCTGGAATACTGGGACCCAGGAATTTGTATTTTAACCAGCATGCCAGGAGATTTTAACCATCAGAAAATTTTGGGAAGCTCTGGTGGGTAGTGGCTGTATAATCTGCCTCATCTGGATTGACCTGTGGGTGGGGTGAAAGTTCACCAACAATACAGCTCTCCCCATCTAAAGTGAGGCATCTCCATGGTACCCTGCTTCATTTGTCTTCATGTTGCTTCCCAATATTCTGATACATATTTCTTTGTTAGTGTTCCTCTTTCCCTCAGAACACAAACCCCAAGAGAGTAGGGGCTTTTCCAGCTTTGCTCACTGCTGTATCTCTAGATAACAACACAAGGCCCGAGTGACAGTCAGCGCTCAGAAACACACAGTGAATGATGGAGGAAGAGTAGGGTCTTTGCTAGCTCTGTCTATTTCCATTAGCAAAAGACTCTACACTATAGAAACAGAACCAAAGCCACCTAGAGATTTGTTCTGTCATCCATTACCTCTCAAGCAGCCATCAGGATGGCCAGAGTGAGAACCCCTGCTGAAGACATAAGCACCAACATTAGCTGGAGGAAGAAAACAGTGGGTCTGTCAGGGCCGCTGCAGAGTAGGGCCAAGAATATGAACCAAGGCTCTAGGGCCAAGAATATGAACCAAGGCTCTTTTTTTTCAAGCAGGCCCCAGAGTCAGGGTTTAAATCCTGCTTTAACACATACTAGCTCTGGGCCTCAAGCAAATCATGGAATGAATGTATCTGTGCCTCAGTTTCTTCACCTGTAAATCAGGTAGAATGATTGTACAAACCGCCTAAAGTTGTAAGATCATCTCTGGAGCTTGAAGCAGGGTGCCTAGCACCTGGCACATGCTCAGAACATACTGGCCATGTGGCCTCAAGAGCTACTGCTGCACTCAGAGTACTGTGCTCTTGTTCCCTGTCTCGTGCCCAACAGGAGCCTGAGGATTCACAGGGTCTCTTCTCCCTCCTGCATCTAAACACTTCCAGTTCCTCTTAGCTTATCACCCTGCTTATCCACAGCCATCCGAAACTCTACATCCCTCCACAACTGCTTCATCCAGGTCATGGCCTCGACCGCCACTGGAGCACCATCAACCCTCAGATCACACTCATGTTTCACAAGGAAATCATCCACTACAGGTGAAGTGCTAATGTCCTTGGTACATAAAGAACCTCTATAAATCAGTAAGAAAAAGACAAGAATCCCCCAAACAAGAAGCAATTTCCACACCAAGAAAATGTAAATAGCAAATAAGCATAAAGTCCAGGGTGACCGGTAATGGAAAAAAAAAAGGTAATTTCAAATACAGATGTAACAAATTTTACCTGTATGTTGAAAATAAAATTCTGAAGATGATATTACACATATACATTTGTATATGTGTATATATAAAATTATATATAAATGTACATTTTATACATGTAATTATATATATAATTAGCTCTGTTACATCTGGGTGTGTGATTAGGGATGACTTCTTTACTATGATTTTCTATGATTTCTAGATTTTCTCAAGTAAGTAAGAACCTCTTTTATAACCTTTCTTTTCTCTCTTTCCTCTCTCTGCCCCTTAAGTCTCTCCTTCCTTTCTCATTCCACTTTCTCTTCTCACTCTCCTTCGCTCCTTCTACCTCTCCCTCTCTCTCTTCCTCTTTCTCCCTCCCTCTCACACTGCATGTATACTGTATCCTCCCCCACTTCCCATGGAAAACTTAGGATTTTGATGACCTGATTTGGCCCACTGGTCGACCCTCCATCCCCTGCCTCTCTCCTCACCTTATTTCCTCACTGAAACCAAAGTCCAAGCACAAAGTGGACTGTTTCACTTCTGTAACTGCCTAAACACCACCTTCCCTTTCGGAATCTGTCTGGGGTCTCATCTGATCTGTGAAGGCTTCACTGGCCCTTATCCAGGGCCTCTTCTCTGCTGTCCCTTAGGGCCCCCAAAGAATACCCCAGCCCTTTGTCACTCCATCAGACCACCTGTCCTGCAGCCCATAGTCTTCTGCTCACTCTACCTTCTGCATCAGCTCCTGAGCTGTCTGGGAAGGGCCAATAGCCTGTGCATTTTTGTGTCATCTGAGCTTACAGGACCTGCTACCTACTGAGGTGTTTGGGAATGACTTAGAGAAATGAAATGAATGTGACTTTTGGCACTGTTGACAGATGGGTATGTATTATTATACTCCTTTTAGAAATGAAGGAATCAAGCTGTGAGAGCTTAAGTAACTTGCCCAGTATTACACAAGTAGGTGGAAAGCTGAAGTTTAAATATAGGTCATTTGGAGTGGGGGTGTCTAATCTTAACCTTTAGCATCAGGTTCAGAGGCTCTCTGCACTGATGAAGACTTACTAGGGAACAAAGCGTACTTCAGGGAACAATGAAGTGAGGGAGGAGTGCATTAATACTAATAAGAGATAATAAATTATTGACACTTAGATGTGCTGGGCATTGTTTTAAACATTTGATATATTTCAGATCCTTTTAAAAAATTTCATAAGAAAGGGAGAATTATTAGATCAATTTTGGAAGTGAAAAAAGCTGAGTTATAGGGAAGTTTAGTTCCTTATTCAGATCAGACTGAAGATTTGGACCCTGCCAGACAGCTCAAAGCCTTTGCTGGGAACCTAACTAAGCTCTGCTGCCTGGTGGCAGGCAAGAAGCACAGTTCTGCCGCAAGAAGAGCTGCAGGGACTGATATATCCATTGTTAGGAAAAGGTGCCACCCCACCGAGGCTGCAACCGCCACCATCACTGATCAGACTTGTTCCAGTTCCAGAGCTGAAGCCCCCCACTGTTTTGCCTCATCCATAAGATGAGAGGTACCTGTCCAAGCTCACACTTCCTCACAGTTGGGTCAGGAAGCAGGCACCTCTGAGGGCTGGCGAGGGGCTGGGTGGGAAACAATTTAAGTGAATCAAGGGAGGGGATGAGAAACTAAGTTGCTGGGTCCTGCTCTATGTCAGGCACAAACCCCACCTAATTTTCATACCCCATTGTACACACAAGAAACAATGCTCAGAAGGATTGAGTGATGTGCACCACAGCACACAGCCAGTAGCTGGCTGTCCACTGGTTCCAAACAAGAATGTTAGGTTGGTCAGACTGTCCCAGACTGGTTCAGAATAATCTCCCAGATTGTCTGTTCCACCTCAGTCTTCCAAACCCTGGTAGTTCTAATGGAACTGGGGGGAGAGATATAACAATTAAAAGAGCATTGGCCTAGCAGATGGAAGGTGCCAAGTATTGTCACTGTGAACAACAGCCTTATCCCCTGCCTCAGTCTCCTTCTTTATAAAATAGAAGAGCTAGATCTGAAGGAATGTCTCAAGGTCTTTCTCAAGGCTAACAATCTTCGGCTTCACTGTTACTTACACTACCCCCCATTCTGTGAAAACAGGGATAAACTGTGTATCTCTATGCCTGGGCTGCAGCAAGTGGGTGAGCTCACCGGGGATGCTCACCCTGGTTGTAGCAATGATCTTGTCAGCCTTACTTTCCTCAAGTGCAAGGTTTGAGGAGGACTGACTTAATGGATGCAAGGTCAAACCTACACATTTATGAACACAAATGTTTTATACTCCCAGAGGAACAGTAGCACCACCTCCTAATCTGGCTGGGGCTGAGCTTGGGCTAATACATATTACCTCATTTAATCTTCCCTGCAACCCCCACAGGGAAGATACTGGCATGAACTTCCCAATTTATAGATGAGTACATTCAAGTCCACAGAGCTTTAATGATTTGCCCAAGGTCACATCCATGCTAGATGATTTGTGAGTGGCATAATTTAATAACAATTCTTCAGAAATGGACCACAGGTGGTGACTAAAAGGTACCAAGGGGTGAAATTAGAGCTGGTTGACTGGAGCCCATCTAAGTCTGCTCAGGACGGGATGGAGGAACAGGGCCTCTCAGTGGCAGATGCTCCCAGTACATGATTATGTGAGACCAAGCTTCCCATACCTGGCTCTGAGGCCACAGATGTTACCTTGAGTCACAGAGCCAATGTCTGCTTCCAGTGCTGAGATTGTTCCTGATGGTCTTTCTCTTAATGAATGGCTTTATCCCCCAGGAACACTTCAGAGGACCCCTACACCCATGTTCTAGAATGGCATTCTGTGCCCATGAGTAGTTGCCATGACAGTGAGGGTCTTCCCACCACCCCTCCCACCAGGCTGCACCATGGGGACTATAAAGGCAGCCCAGCCCACAAGGACAAACAGCTGGTGGTGCTCTCTGAGCAAGACAGGGAGAGCTGAGCAAGTGGTCTCTGTCCAGATCCAGTCAAGGTATAGGGACAGGGGAAAGTATCTGCCCAGGTGGGTGGGGTGTCCCCACCCAAACTTCTGGACCCTTCCTCAAACCACCATAGTCTGAACACTTCCTGCCAGTCCCCAGCAGGTCTCAATCCTGTACACCCAAAGCTAAGCACCAAATGGCCTTCCCAGTCCACTCTGCTTCCCCAACCACCAGATCCATTAACTGCCCCCAGCTAGAGGGTCACACACTCTGTCTGAGGCCAGTGCCTGGAACTTCTAGCACAGCTGGCTTATGCCCACCTGAAATGCCCTCTGAAGTGCCCTCATCATCTGTCAAGAGGCAATACAACTGATCCCTATGGCATGGTTCCCCCACCCATGAGCTTCTCCAGCCCACTCTCTTGTCCTTAAAGACTGGTGTATGGGGTGTTCTGTGTTCAGCAAGTGTGACACCCTTTCAGGTTTGGCAGCACCCTAGGGACAGGAACTCTGTGTCACTTTGTGTTACTTAAGTGTCCCCACTGGAGGCTCAGAAAGGGGCATGAAGCGTTTGATGAATAGTTAATGAAAGAAAGAATGAATGAGACAATGAATAGGAGGAAGAGAAAAAGCAAAGATACAGGGGTAGAAGGATGAACAAGTGAAGAAAGGTGAGAATGAAAAGGGGCCTGGGGATGCCCTTTACTTACCCAGCCGGGGCCTAAAGCTGCGGACCGTGTTGCCCCCTCCAGGACGCGCGCCCCTTCGGCTGTATTTCTCATAAAGCCGAAACATGTGGACAGCGACCATGTCCTGGGCGAGAGGACCCAGAGCAGCAGCCTTGTCCCCCAGGAACTTCTGAGGGTCGTTGCTCCCGGCCAGGCCGTCGGTGGCTAAGGGCCGTTCGGACCGGGAGGGGGCTGTGTGACTGCCGCCCGCGTCCCTGAGCAGCACCAGAAGCAACAGCAGCAGTGGCAGCAGTTGGGACCCTGGTCCTGTGTTGGTCTGAACCGGGCCACAGGGCATGGTGAATGGCGGCGGGGAAGGTCCGGACACTGCAAGGAGGGAGAGCTCGGGCTCACCGGAGGCTGCCGACCGACCCTGCGGATGGAGGGCACACGGGGAGCCGGGGCAGCAGGGGCAGCCGGGGCAGCCGGGGCAGCCAAGGGACGCGGGGTTCAGGGCAGAGCGGAGCGGCCAACCTAGCTAGCTTGGTCTGTCCGCGCCGTCAGAGCTCCAGGCCAGCGGTCACGGCCGTCCGGAGCCCCGTGGAGTGGAGCTGAGCCCGATCCGGTGCGCTGCCTTCAGGGACTCCCTGCGTGGAACTTTGTAGCTCAGGGAGTGGCGGGTTCGAAGGGTTCCAGAGGCCGGGCGGAGCAGGCCGGGGAGGGGCGGAGCGGCCAGCAGAGCCTTCGAGGGAAACCCGGTTGCGCGCCCTGGACCACTGGGACAGCAGTGGATACAGCAGTGCTAGCCCGCTGCGGGTGCGTGCGCCAGCGTGTGGCGGCGCGCGCGCGCAGGGGTCTGCGTTTGAGTGTGGGGCTGGAATGTAGGAGTGGGCGTGAGTTCCTTGCTTGGAACTAGAGAAGGGCGACCCCGCCGGCTCCTGTGTGTAGGCGCCGCAGTTTGGCAGCGGTTGCGCGGGGGCTGGGGACCGGGAGGGGGAAGCTTTGGAGGGGGGCCCGCCTGCCCGGTTGTCTTTGCAATGGTATGCGATGACTGTGTGATTGCAAGATGACAGCTCCCCCGTGAGGACCGGCGAAGTGATGAGTGTGTGCACCTCTGAGCCAGTGTGTGTGTCCAAAACGCAAGGGTGCAGGGAACGGGGACCAGACCCTCCCTGAGCAGCCTTTGAAAAGAAAAAGAACAAAACAAAACAAAACCCCCAAAAAACCCTACTCCCAGGGCTCAACCAACCAGGGCAACTGGAAGAAGATCCCGATTGAAGTTCACAATTAGTTGGTTAACTGACCCTGGATTTGGAGACAGTGATTATAGTCGTTGAAGAAACGCATCAAAGGGCCTTGCTAATCTTTGGACTTGTAGTCATCAGGGTTGTCCTGTAAAAGGACATGGTTTCAGATGGCTTTAGAACACATTTCCAAGTTGTCTGGTTAGGAGACAGACAAAAAAGCAGTGGCTGTCCATAGAAGGCTTAGGGATGAAGTGAGGGTGTCATGATTCCCTGGGCCCACTGCCCCTCACCTCAGCCCTGGGCAGAAGGTCCTGCACTTCATTTTGCCTTTAGCAGGGTTTCCTGTCTACAGATAGAATCTCAGGGGATTGGGGAATTCAGTTGGAGAAAAAAATTACATCTTCATTTTCACTAATCTAACTGAAACTTAGCATCTCCTTAAAGAGAGGCAGCAGCCAACCACAGTGATATTAAACATACTTGTGGCTTTGTCCCCAATAGCTACCACTCACATGTATTTTCATATTACACGAGAGTTGTTTCACATTTCTCAAAATATCTTTTTGGCTTGTTACTTTTCTTAAAATAAAGTGACAATGAAGTTAAACCCTCTGCTAGTTATTTAATGAATTAATTTTTAAAGGTTTTATTTATTTATTTTTAGAGAGGGGAAAGCAGGGAGAAAGAGAGAGAAATATCAATGTGTGGTTGACTTTCACATGGCTCCCACTGGGGACCTGGCCCACAACCCAGGCATGTCCCCTGACTGGGAATTGAACGGGCAACCTTTTGGTTTGCAGCCCACTCAATCCACTGAGCTACACCAGCCTGGGCTAATGAATTATTTTTAAAAGTACATATATTACTATGTTGCACAGTTGTTTTAAAAAATATCTGGATAACCCAGCATATTAAAAACATTTTTAGGAAGTCTTCACATTTTTCTCAGACTGAAAAAAAAGGTCCAAGGTCCACAAAAAAAGTTTATGAATTCTTCTGAGAGAAGGAAAGGACTTCTTTAAAGCGATGTTCTTCCTGTAGATCTAGGGTGCTGCCCATGCTAAATTTCAGAGGACTATTTGCAAACTTGTGAACATGCTGTTCCTTTTACTTGGTACTTCGGGCTTCCTGAGCCAAAATACTTACTTTTCTTGGAGGGCTCACAATGCAATGATTGAAAATTTGCTGGAGAAACCTTCTGTTGGTATGTAAAACACAGCCCATTTGTCGTTTTTAAAAACCTTGAAGTGTTAAATTAGAGGTCATCCTATTAACAGCCTCTGAACCCGAAGCCTGTAGATTTTGGAAAACTATAGAGAAGCATTTTATTTATTTTGATAATTAGCACACATCACATTCAACTTCCCATTCCTATAGCTCCCATTTGTTCTGTGAAACAGTTTTCAAAAAAAGTTTGTTGGAGGTGAGATGATCGAATCCCAATCTTGAACTTGATGGATCTCTCCTTATAAGTGATCCACACCATCTTTTACTGCTCCCTCCCCCACCCCAACCCCATTTTCCTCCTTCTCTGTGTACCCCTCACTTCCCCTCTGTCCCCACTCCTTTTCTACCCCAGAATGCCTCTGACCTGTATCGGCTGGGGGTAACCTCTGCTCATGGGTAGTTTTGTCTCTGCTGAAGCCATACACAATCGAGGACTGTGAAAAAAAGAAGTGAGTCTGCAGGAGGCCGGGACAAGCTGGGCTATTCTCGATCTGTGTCCATTAAAAGCCTTCTTGCTCTCCTTAACTCATTCCCACTCCATTCAAGTCAGCCAGAGAGAGGGTCAGGCTTTAGCCAGCACTAAAACCTGTAGGGTACAGATTCTCTGACATTGTTGGGAAAGAATTAAGGCATCAGCCAGGGACAGCTAATATTTCTTGCCTTGTTTTATTGCTAAACAGCGGGACTGTAAAGTCTTGAACACTTGGAGAACTATGCCCCCTTTTCATGTAGCCGAGATGATGGGATAAAAATGTGTTTGGTGAAGCAATTCAGATTACCACTGGGTCATATCCTTGCCTGCTCCCAGCACAGCCTGCAAACAGCATTGCTAAGACAGAGATAATCACTGTGCAATTTCAGCTCATGCAGAACAGCTTGTAGAAATAAGGCTAATTGTGGAGTTTGCCAATGAGAACATTTAGTTTTTAATAGCTCAGGCTGCAGCTCAAAATAAAAACCAAGATGGAAGGCTGTGGATTCAAGTCCTGAGGGCTATGATTTCTGACAGCTTCCTACTAAAATTAACAGTCCTGAGAGTATCAGACACTAGTCTTACCATGGATCTTGAGGGCTTGAACTTGCCAGTTGTGGTGGAGAATGCTCTCTCTAGGAAGGTGAGAAGTGTTGATGCAGGGGTGGGGGGTGGGCTTCGGTTCTCCAGGCTTCTCTGCTGCACACTCTGGGATAACAGGGGTTCCTTAACCTCAGAAAACCCCTGAGGAAGGAGTGCAGAGACCCAACTGTTGGACTGGGTAAATAGTTATGAAGTTCTCCACCTGGGTAAAGGAGAATGCAAACTCTGGACAGTTCTGAGAACTCTCATTTGGTTTGATCTGGAACCTCTCCCCAGGTAACATCACATGAAATGTTCCTGAACAATAGTTTTATGCTACTGCCCAGCTAATTTGTGGAGTAGTCAGTTTTTGGCTCTCATTAGCCCTGTCACCCTGGATCAGCCCCATTGCCTCTTTGGAGACCCAGCAGCCTCCTGTTTAAATAAAAAGGTTGCTACCCAAACTCTGTTTCACCTCCCACATTCTATGCCTGAGGCTGTGGCCTCATGTCAACCCATTCTTGAAGTAAGAGTGTCTACAAGATTCTTTGGAGTCAACTGAAACTAGGTTCGTGTCCCTCTTTTCACCCACATATCTAGCTGTGTGGCCTCAAGCAAGTTATTTGACTTCTCTGGACCTCAGTTTCTTCAACTCTAAAATGAGTACACGAGCACTATATTATGAGGATTATTAATAAGGTTTAACATGAGATGGTACTAAATAGCACTGATCCTTGTTCCTGCTCTTTTTTATTTCCCTTGTGTTCAAAAGAGGTTTTAGCCTATTTAAAGTGAACCCAAATTCTAGGAGATTCTTAAAATATTTTATTTATTTATTTTTAGAGAGAGGGGAATAGAGGGAGAAAGAAAGGAAGACAAACATTAATGTGTGGTTGCCTCTCATAAGCCCCCAACTGGGGACCTGGCCCACAACTCAGATATATACTCTGACCAGGAATCAAACCAGTGACCCTTTGGTTCATAGGCTGGCAGTCAATCTACTGAGCAACACCAGCCAGGGCCAAATTCTAGGATATCTGATGAGAGGATCAGCCTGGCCATTCCTTGCTCTGCAGATGAAATGCATTTCTTAACACACAGTGCCAAAAGCTGGAAACCAAAAAAAAAAAAGAAGAAGAAGAAGAAGGAGAAGGAGAAGAAGGAGAAGGAGAAGGAGACAGAGAAGAAGAAGAAGGAGAAGAAAAGGAGAGAAATTTTCCTCAATTAGGGAGTCATAGACTTCTACCAATGGGCCATTATTACTGATATCTGTGGGTCCCTATCAATTACAAGGATGATTATATAGCTCTTAGTCTAGTTTTCTCAAAACTCATGGACCTAAGGACAAAAGAAATGCCAGCGAGTCCCTGTTCCCATTTGGGGCACGAGCTGTGAAAGAGTAGCTGGAGGGTTTGCTGGAGGGAGAGAGACAAGAATCCCAGGGCCTGCCCATGCCTCTGGGCCCAAATGTAATAAATCTGTGAAATAAATAGTACAAAAGACTTCATAATCAATGACAGATTTCATTTTAGCTCTGGCAATATCTGTCTGTGGAGTTACCGTTTTATAGGGAAATAACCACCCACTCTGTGACTCCTTCTCAGCCCATATTCTCTTTCTTAAAGTTGGGAAAAACTTTGAAATCAAAGTCAGCTCCTTAGTGAACTGTGGCAAGAGAAAGCATGACTTCCCCTGGGAGGGAACCCAACTCTCCCGTTACTTCCTAGGGTGGCTCAGGCCATTCATTTCTGTTTTGCTAAAATACCCGTGACATGTGAATAAACCAGGATTACAGAACATTGTCTCAGGCAGTAATCTGAGCCAGCATGGGCTCTGGTTTGATGAAATATGGTGCTCTCTGAGAAAACATGGGAATTGGTATTACTTCTTGTTAAAGCTGAACAGTGAAACTATTTAGAACTGAGGCATGAATGCTGCACTGTGGGGAGTGACAATTTGAAGGGAGCCGATCTGGGGGAGGGGGACAGTGGTGTGTGTGAGTTGGCCAGAGCAAGCCAGTTGGGTGATGTCTGCAAGGGAAGCAGCCAAAGGGATACTTTAGGAATTAGGAACCCTTATTAGGGGCTGCTCAGTCTCCTTACAACCCCGAAATAATCTTCCTCAAAACCTTTGCAGGAGGGACAAAGCCTTACATCTTTGTCCTGGCATTTAAGACTTTGTCATTGGGTCTGTGTATCTCAATCTGTCTGTCCCTGGAGAGCCTCTCTTCAGTCTCTTTTTGCCAGTCCTCTCATTCACCAGAATTCAGAAAAGCCCGTATTCTCCCAGTA